ATACTTGTTAAAGTCCTTTAAAAGCTTCTAGGCTACAGTACCGAGGCAGAGGGATAAGTAGGCTGGGAAAGGTGCTTCAGTGGAATGCACCAGGGCCGCAATTCTACACATTCCAGAGACTAAACATGACCAGCAAAACTGGCCGGTGTGCGAAGTCCTCCGTTTCCTCCCTACAACTTCTCCTCAATCCCCAACAGCACCATCTAGCAGCTAGACTAGAAAAGGAGCTAGATGAAGAGACTGAAACGTGAGTGATCAAAAGAAGGGAAGGATGAGTCATGTGGGATTTTCAGTAGAGCTGAGGCTCAGTCTGACAGTCTTGACTGTCAACTTGAAAGGTTTTGAGTGACTAGGAAGGCATTTCATCTCTCTCTGCTTCCTGAACACCCTATGATTAGCTGCCTCATAATCCTATCCTCATGACCTCCTGGTCATCCCCGAAAACCTTGACCCCAAACAAATCCTTCCTCCCTGAGCTGCTTTTGACAAGTACTTGGTCACAGCAATAAGAAATTAACTAATACATCCGAAAAGTCCTAAAACGCTCGATGCGGACCTGCGCATTCCAGGATGTGTTGCTATCGATACTCCTGTTCGACACTGATGCGCTTACCAACAGACTGCCTGGGTCCTTTGCTCTACCTGGATGGAAACAGTAGGTAGGCAAAGAGAAGCTCTTCAAATGCTGCTATTTGGTGCCGTATCCCTTGGAACTTACAACAGTGCACAGTAGCATTGGGTAGGTGAGATCGCCAGTGAGCACCCCTTAGTGTTACGGCTTTCACACAGGCCTCAGGTAGATGGATGCTTAGCTCTGTGGTTCCTGTGGAATCAAGGAGTCTGGACACCTTAGCCCTTGGCTGCAGCTGGCACTGCAACATCTTGGCAAGCCCAGGTATCAAAATTCTATAGCACTGGTCAGCTGTCAATGTCTGGGGCTGGCCTGTCTGAGACCTTTGACTCCAAAAGCTTGACGGTTCTGGAACTCTTCAGTTACCAGGGCCTGCAGTTTCTCTTCCCTGGCTCTACTGTCTCTTGACCTTCACCATCCTGGTTCCTGCCCTGGCTACTGTCTAGGATGTTCATCTGCCTCTTGTTACAGCCCTCGTTATGGTAGCATCTTCTTGGGAGGCCGTTAGCGCCGCTTGGTTTCTGCTGCTGCGGTTTCTGCTGCCCTCAGCGGACAGTCTTGGGGCTCTACCTTTGCCATGGCCGCTTGTTCTGCACCTTTCGCGGCTCTGCCTCTTCAACTGTCAAGCATCTGGCCACCTCTGCCATTTCACCATCTCAACAGGAGTCCGCTGAGCTACGGCTGCTGCTCCGCTGCCTCTGCTCTGTCCCACTGTGTGCTTCTTTTCCCTGTGTGTTCCCAGCTCAGCCCACGCTACCGAAAACAGGCAGAAAAGACCACCTGAGCCTTTTTTTGTGGTTTAATGTTGCCACATCAGGGGAGGCAGCGGAGGAGGGTTGTCACAACTGGCAAAGTGAGCCCAAGCTTGCTGACGCAATCATAGAAGTAAGGGTTGCACCAATCACAGCAAACCCCCAAGGAAACTGAAGGCTGGTTCACAGCGTTGTTCCATTAGCTCTGGCTCCGCTAGGTCTCGAAGGGAAGCACGCCTTACCTCTGGCACAGATGGAAACGTCACAGGGTCATCTAGACTTCATCGAGGCTCGTGACATCAAATTGTCTGGCACCCGCTGTCTGAAACAGTCCTGGCTGAGGTGGTGTCTTCATAAGCTGGAGCAATCAGCTGTGAGCGTTGTGTAGTTTCCTCAAGGCATCGGGGGAGTGTCAGAAGCTGCTGGCGCTGGCAGAGGAATATCCGGCTGGTTGTTTGGACCATGGTCCTTTTGTTCAAGGCAGCCAGGGCAGCAAGGGAAGAGTCCAGCAGTTATGGAGCCACACTGTTGCATCTCCCAACATCTTTGCTTATTTACAGGAAACAGAACATCAGAAAGTGTTTACAGAGGGAGTTTAAGGGATTTATCACCCACATTAATAGTGATTTTAACAGATGTTAGCAATACTTTGACAATGCCCCCAGAGAAATGTAGTTCCCCCTCAGCTGTCTGAATTTACTGTGAAGAAAATAGGGACGCATAATTGTCGGGGAAGTGATAAGCATACTGGACGGAACCTTTGTTTTAATAATGTACTTGATGATACTATAATTACAAATTTAGACAATGTTTCCTTTTGTGGCAGTACCCTTGGATGAAATGTTTCTATTTGTTTCATAGAACACTGTAGTTCTCTCCAATTAACTACACTTAGGATGCTTTCGTGTGTGTGTGTGTGTGTGTGTGTGTGTGTGTGTGTGTGTGTGTGTATTCATGTGTATGTAGGTGCACATTTGTGCTGGTGTACGTACTCCTGTTTGTCCTTGTGTGCAGAATCCAGATAACAACTTCCGGTGTCCTTCTTCAGGGGCTGTCCACTCTTCCTGGTGACAAGGTTTGGAGCTCACCAAGTAGGCTGTCTAGTAGGCTCCAGGGATCCCCCTGAAGGCTACTACCCTCAGAGCATTTATTGCTTGAAGATCATAGCTAAGGCATGAGAGACAAGGTTTCCCATTCCTGATAAGAAAGTAAACCTCATTTATTCCTTCAGTTTCATCCCAGGATGCCAGATAAATAAGAGATTGATGAGTTGGCTAAACCACCAAAATAATCAGTAACAAAGAAAGTCAAGGCAGAGAACATTAACAATCAGAAAAGGTTTCAGTGACTTAGAGAAACCGTGGTGTGGTGGTTTGAATGAGAACGATCATGTAAAGGAGGGACCAGGGTCCAAATACATTTAGTTAGTGCTAGGTAGCCATTGATGCTGTCGTTTTCTTCTTTGATTTTCTTTTCCTTTCTTTTTTAATCCTAAGTTTTGACTCAGTGTCAGACAGTGGGTACAGAAGAACGATGGAGACTGAGGTAAATGGCATATAAGTCCGTAAGCAAGCAGGCATCTTTTTCTTGCAGGTTATCCACATGGAGGGTGAGAATTGAGCTGGGTTTGCTCAAGGTTTCTGCTCAATCATGCAACCCAAACAAATGTGATTAACTGAGAGAAGAAATTCCCAACATGCAACACTAGCAAGTGCTGGGATCTAAAATATAAAAATCAAACTTAGATCAACAGCAGCAATGATAACAAAACCCAGAGAAACCCAACGAAAAGACAGGGTAAACATTTTTGGGGGCGATTCTCTGAAGAAGACATCAGAACAGCTACAAGAATACACAGACAGGCTCAACTTTGCTCTCCAAGAACTGAAAAATAAGTTCCCACTTTTCACCAGTCAGACTATCCAAAATTAGAACATCTGAATATGCGGAGTATTGGCAATGGGGACACAACATTGGCCATTGGCCCGGGTGTGAGTTCGTGGGCAGGGTGCTGGCATTGGTGAAATTACAAGTGTCTCAGGTTAAAGTCTGGCATAGGATTGAAAAGAAGCATTGCCGATCACGTGTCAGTCTCAGTAAATGCATATTTAATGAAAATATAAAGGTATCAATCACATCGATGATTGTAATGAGTAGAGTTGGGGTGACTCAGCCCTCCATTACTAGGATTGCAGGGAGGAAGTTGTTTTCAAGGGATGTGTTTGATGATGCCAGACCTCAAAGTATCACAGTGTGTGCCCAGCAGTTGCTAAGGGCCTCCTATGTGTTGATATAGTTACCCTCAGATTGCTGCATGTCTTCTATTTTACCCAGAAGAGACTGTCAGTTTAAGCTGGAGATCCTTCTAGCAGTGAATCAGAGCTGGGTTTGAACTCAGGCATCTGGCTCCTGCAGCCAATCAGTGAACCCCATGGTTGGGGACCACCTGCTTTCCACACTATGATGCCTGCAGCACACTGGTCCCATGGTGTGTCCATTCACTCCTTCTCTGACAGTCTAATGTTGCTGACCGTCTCCTTTTCAAAGGTCAGCATCTCACCTCATCCTCCAGTGCATAGGAGCATGCTTCCACCCAACACCCTCCTCTCCCATGCAAGACTCTACTCGTGGTCCCTGCTGGTCCTGCTTGAGACACGTCTTCAAATGCTTGGGAGGGATGCTGTGATGCCCTGCTTCAGACCCTCTCCTCTGGGCTGCAGGCACATTCATCTGCACCTTTCAGAGACAATCACATGATGTCCACCACTGCAAACGACTATGATATAGTCATCTGTCAGAGAGCATTTACACCTGTAGAGCAGTTTTCCCTAACAGAAGGACCCCAAATAACCCAGCCTTTTTATGCATTTATTCTCTACTGCAGTGCTCTGGGGCGCCCTGCTATCTGGAAAATCTGAATACCCAGCTAGGTAGAACTGTAACCAATAAAAACCACCAGGTCCTAGGCCAAATACTGAAGGGATCTGTGGACAGGCTTGGTGGATCTGCAGAGTCATTATTGAACACTCTCTGACCTTGGTGTGCTAGGTCATCCTGGTTTACTGCCGTGCCTTCTCTGGGAGACAGGCCCGTGTGTCTTTTGGAGACACTGAACTCCAGGAGGGTAGAGCCTTCCAGAGATGAAACCGTTAAGGGCTGCAGAGCTGAATGATCTAAGTCTTTCAGCTTGACTACCTCAAAATCTTCCATTTTTTTTTTTTTGCACTGATTTCCATGTTCTAAATTGCCAGTTAATTAACCTCTATTTAAACGGTACATTTATGTATTTAATTCCCACCCATCCCCCCAAAGCAAGTTACCTATAATTTGAAATACTCTCTCACTTTAGAATATTCAGTTGCCTGGGAGAGACTAATTAGAAAATGGAAATTTGCTGCAAGGGAAACCCATTCCTGTAACAGGAAGCACAAGCCAACTCATGTCAGCTCCGTCTGCAGCAGCCTGACTGTCTTTTCCCGGAAGATGCTGTCTCCTTGGAGCGAGTTGATTTACTGACTTAGCAAACACCCTTCTACAAGGCACTGTGCACTAAGCACCATCCTGGACCCTTCAGGGATGGTGCTTTGCTCAGTGAATTCATTCGCTTTGTCCTGCAGGTGGAAATGAATAATGTCACCCAGGCTGACAAAAATGAAGAGAACGCAAGATATTGGCAAGCTGCACAGGTGAGATTTGAACCTGGTTTGTCTCTGCCGTCCTGGGGCTGAAGCCCTGTGCTGTAGCTCCGTCTTTACTAACCTACCATCTGTGTTACACCAGGCAGAGTCAAGTGCCCTTAGAGGACAGCCAAGGGAACCTTCTCTGCATCAGGGCACGAACAGCTTGGAAAACGGAACAGCCTAAGTCGAACCCATCTGCAGAGCCTCCACATGGTCGTTGTGTGGGGGCAAAGGGAGACACTTCACCCTCACCGCACCTCCTGTTTCCACACTTCTTGGCTAGCTGGCCTTTGGCTGTGGGTGATTCCCATGCAGAGGACTGTGGTAGTCATTAGCTAAGTCATAGCAAGATGGCTGCCCGCTCCACCTTTTACCTCAGACCTCGCTTGGGATTTTAGAGGAAGAGTCCAATGTGCATTTGGAACACCTTAGACTTAAGCTGGGCAGGTTTTGGACCAGCAAATTTGTATTTTCTACAAGAAAGTGCATGAGATGTTTAGAGTATACTAACAAAATTGTAATAGGGAAAAAAAATGGTTCTTTGTTTTTGCTTTGGCATTTACAGAGTGAAAAGGACTCTCAGTTCTGTCTTCATCCACAGAGGGGAGCAAAGAGGTTATAAAAGCCTGGGTTTTAACATGAAATTGTCAGGCTCTGCCCTTCAGTGCCTGTATTTTGTTGGTGGCCTGTCCTGAGGGCATCTGTATCCCAGTCTCTATTCTACAGAGATACATGAGCTTTCCTGGGATGTTCCAGTGTGTAACATCACAGCATCCCTCCGCTTACCTTCAACTTCACTGAGAGCATCCTCAATTTCTCAGTTTCCCAATTCCCAGTCTCGATAAGAAGCTGTCTCTCTGGCCCAGCTTTCCAAGAGAGGCTGCTCAAGCCACAGGCCACTCTAATTTTGACGGCCCCAAGCAAGTTGTCCATTGCATTTCCATTATGGCAATTAGTGTAAAACATGCACGCCCCAGGTACAAGATCTAGAGAGAGGTGGCGCTGCTCTTAGGGAGGCTTGGAGGTGGACGAGCCCAATAAATGAGCGCAGTGCAGGCCAGGGGCAGCTTGGCTAAAATGAGTCCATTGCCTGGAGCCACACTCAGCTCTCTGGCCTGTGACTTTACTCTACATTAAAAAATGATCAATATCTTTATGGCAGAATCCTCTGGATGGAATCCAAGATCAATGCCTTGATACCAGCTTCTGCAGTAGTGAACAGCAGTGTGCAGGCTTTATAGAGTACAATCTATGGCCTTAATGTACACTAGCAGAAGTACAGGGAAAGTTAAGCTAGTTTGCTGGAACAGTTCCGGGCCTTTGCAGGAGGCTGGTGTTCTCCACACAGGCATGCTCATCTTTAAAGCACGACAAGTCACATTACAGCACTTGTCCTAGTACATAGCTCGCATTAAAAACTCAATACATCTCCAGGGAGATGGCTGAGGTGGAAAGGGCACTTGCTTTGGAAGTGTGGGGACCTGAGTTCGAATCCCCAGCACCCCTATAAAAATCTGGTTGTGGCTATGTGTGTCTGTGACATCAGCACTAGGGAACAGTAGAAAGCAAATTCCAAGAGTTCTGTGGCTGGCCTGCCTGGCTGAAAGGTGAGCTTTGGGTCTAGTGAAGAAGCTTGTCTCAAGGCAATAAGGTGTGGAGGGTCATAGAAGACAGCTGGTCCCTTGCTACTCTGGCCTTCATATGCGTGTACGTGGGTGCATATACCTGCAGCCCCACATGCATGTGCAATAACGTGCACACATGCACGCATACCACCACCACCACCAACAATACTGAAACCATCACCACCACAAAAAACAACTCCAAAACTACTACTTGTGAGTCTCTGTTCTCATGTCCCCGATCATAGTTCAGGATTTATTGACCTGAATTGAACTGAAAAATTGATATTAAAATGAACTGGTAGAGATTTGGAGTTCTCCAAACTCTAGCAGGACCCGTAGACCCCTCCCCGTTCCTCTCTCACTTCCCAGGTCCTGAGAGCCAGAGCCTGGATGAAGTCAGTGGGCTACAGCTGCAAGCGCTCATCCCAGAAGCTCACATTGGGCCAGCGCTGGCCCAGCACAGCGCACGGCACTGCCAACCACAGGGAGCTGCAGGCTCAGAATTGCTGGAGTCCGAACAGATTCTCACCGTTCTTGCTTCTTTTCCTTGCTCGTGGATGCCAGCCCACGTGGCAGCCATCTTGGCACCCTGAAGGAAGACACTGCCCAGCAGCAGAAGACGGGGTGGCTAGAAAGGTCCTATAGACTGTCTTCCTCTGATTCCTATGATTTAAACTTACTAGGATTTAAAACATTTTAATTGGGGGGGGGGATTTTTTTTTATGTGTATGGGTGCTTTAACTGCATAGATGTCTGTGTACTCATGTGCGTGCAGTGCCCATGGAGGTCAGGAGAGGGTGTCGGATAATATGGAACTGGAGTTACAGATGGTTGTGAGCTGCCAGGTAGGTGCTGGGAATTGAACATGGATCCCCTGGGGAACTTAACTTCTGAGCCATCTCTCCAGTCCTCATTTAAATTGTGTGTGTGTGTGTGTGTGTGTGTGTGTGTGGCTAAGGATTGAATTCCAGGTCTCACACATGCTCTGTAAGAACTGAACCACTCAGCTGAATAGAGCATTAACCTTCATGTTCAATGTATTGCTACAGATTCACTTAACCCCAGGGTACGCTGATATACTACTGTCTTTCAGTTGGCTCTATATGGTACTTAAAGTTTGGCCCCGAGAACTGGTTAGGAGATGTGGCCTAATAGAAATTAGAGCACTGGAGGCGTGCCCTTGGAGGGAATGTTGATACACTAGTCTAGGGAGAAAGACAAAAAAAAATAATAATAATAATAATAAGAGAAAATGGAGCATAGATCTTGTATTTCACCGGTGCTAAAGCCCGATACTTCCTTGACACACCCCTTACCTGTTGAGTCTAACAGGACCACACCAATGCAGGGGTCCTGAACCATGAACATCAACTGGGAAATAATTTTACCTTCAATGATAACTTCATTTTTATCGTTTTATTTTATCTTTTTAGGCGCTCAAGGTTGAATCTAGGACCTCATTCATGCTAAATACATGTTCAACCATTTTACTTTTTCAAAGTTAGAATAAAAGTTACATATAAATTGTATAGTATAAAATATATATAAAATGTATGGTCTATGAACTATTATATAATTATGTGTGTAGGAAATAGAGCCAAAGTTTAGTTATATCAAAACATTACATCTAGGTGTTATCTTGGTCTTCTCTGGCAGGCATAACACAGTATCATAATGAAATGCCACACAGAGATGGTGGCTTAAACAGTGAAATCTATTTCATACAGCTCAGGAGACTGCCAAGTCCAGGGCCAAGGTGCTGACTGTTAAATTAGGCAGGGGCTCTGTTCCCCGCTTGTGGACAAGTGGCCTCCCTCCGTATTTATGCTCACGTGCACAGGCAGGGACACAGGCCATGCTCCACTGTCTCTCCTCAGTGTCGCTAATTCCGTTACCCCAGAGCCTGGCCCTCATGAACTCATCTGATCCCAATTACCTCAACAGGCCCCATCTCCAATACGTGACCACAATGGCCACTGTGGTCTCTACCACTAAATTTTGGGGTGGTAGGGAAAACATAAATATTCGGTTCACACTAATATTATTTTCAATAATATGTATAATATCAAAGATCCTGTTTTCTCGAGGTGAGGGCAAGCACCCATCTGTCCATCTACTGTGGGCCTACTTCGAGCACTGACTGTGTGTCAGGTCTGTGTTCTCTCAGGGTCTGAAGTCCTCAGGCTCTGAGCTCCTGCAGTCCATGTTAAACACCTTCACTACTGTCCCTCTTTCTCACTGGCTCTCATTATCACCTAGGGTTTTTTTTTTTTTTTCTCTTCTTTTTCTCATGCTTGCCTAGTGAACAGATTTCCCATGGGGGCTTAAATACTTTTCTTCTTAGATTTCCACTTTTCCTTTTAATGTGGCCAAGCAAACAGACCTCTCTGTGCACCCCATGCTTCCCAGTGTGACTTCCCTAAGACTCTGCTTTGCAATTAGCTTCCACCGTCTCACAGGAGAGGCCTCTGTGCCCACAGGTACTATATTTGGTGGTTGAGTGCTTAATAATTAATTGCTCAGATTTGCGATTCTTTTCTTCTTATGAATCCTAGCTAGCATCTAATTCACTTACACGATTGATTTGGATTTTTAAAGGGCTGTAGTTTTTTTTTTTTTTTTTTTTAAGTAAAACCAAACAAAGCCTATATAGTTTAAACTCATGTCTATATAATATTAAGAATTTTGTTTAAAACAGTTTTCCCATCATCCCTACTACCCTGATAGAATTAGAATGGAAAACTGTGCCTATCGGAGAAAAGCAAGTCATTTTTACCCACGGTTGGGATTGTAAACACTGGTATTTCCAGGAGCTGGCTGTCCTCCAGCACCACATTTGCCAGTGAAGGTTGGTTGTGTCTTCGCTTATCTGCCTTGAAGAACAACTCCCTTACGGCTGAGAGACGCAGTTCACTGCCCTCAGGATTTCCCACAGTCACACCTTCGTGTCGTCCGTCAGGAAGTCTTTGGAGCTGACTTAAGGGTGGAAGACATAATAGAAAATAACAGATTCTCCACAATCTCGACCCTGCTCAGACCCCTGGGAAGCCCCAGGCCAGCATAGAACCCGGAGCAAGCCCAGGTGTCCTACTCTGCTTACCCGTTGCTGTTCTAGAACATTCTGACTAAAAGCAACTTGTAGGGAAAAGGATGTATTTGGCTCACAGGTTATAGTCTATCATCAAGACAGGGATTCACAGCAGGAACCTAGAACCAGGAACTGAAGCCGAGACCATGGAGGAACACTGCTTATTGGCTTGCTTCCTCGGGCCTTCGCAGCTACCTTTTATATACAGCCTAGTCCCTCCTGCCTAAACACGGCACTGCTCACATTGGACTGGCACCTCCTATAGTAGTACCTTCTCATCAGGACCGCCAGCTCACAAATAACAACGTGGAGGCTTATTATTAATTATAAATGCTCGGCCTTGGCTTAGGCTTGTTCCTAACTAGTTCTTATAACTTAAAATAACCCATATTTTAAAATCTATATTCTGACATGTGGTTCATTACCTCATCTCCATACTGTCCATCCTGTTTCCTCTGCATCTGGCTAGTGACTCTGCCTTTCTTCTCCCCAGAGTTCTCTCTCTGCCCAGAAGTCCTGCCTATAACTCCTGCCTAGCTATTGGCCATTCAGCTTTTTACTGCACCAATCACAGCAATGCCTCTTCACACAGTGTAAAATATCCCACAACAGCTTCCTGTGTCAATTAGCAATCAAGAAAATGCCCCATGGACAGACCTGGCAGACTAGGTCCACCAAGGCAGTGCTTCACCTAAGGGCCTCCCTTCCCAGGCGTGTCAAGTTGACAATAAAACAAAGCAGGACACCAGGTAAGATAGCAGAACTGTTAAACACACACACACAGAGTCATGAAAACTATTAAATGAT